GGTGAGGCTTTTTCCATTTCATTTCACTAATTCTTTTTGGCTCCACACCTTTCTTATTTGCCCCATACTTGTTCCAAGCAGGCAGGGCAGAAAAACCGCTGATTGGTTAAAAAAAATTCCACCGAGAGCATGCGCTGGTAGGTACTTCATATATGATTATTATTATGTACCTAAACATAATTATTATATCTTACTATATATTATTATTATTATACTATAAACACCTATACCCCTATACAACACCATATACCCCTATATACCCCTATACAACACCATATACCTCTATATACCCCTATTACACACCATATACCCCTATACAACACTATATGCCCCTATATACCCCTATACAATAGCATATATCCCTATATACCCCTATACAACACCATATACCCCTATATACCCCTATACAACGCAATATACCCCTATATACCCCATACAACACCATATACCCCTATATACCCCATACAACACCATATACCCCTATATACCCCTATACAACACCATATACCCCTATATACCCCTATTACACACCATATACCCCTATACAACACCATATACCCCTATACAACACCATATACCCCTATATACCCCTATTACACACCATATACCCCTATACAACACCATATACCCATATAGAACGCCATACACCCCAATACATCACCATACACCCCGTTACATCGCCATATACCCCTATACCACACCATATACCCATATAGAACACCATACACCCCAGTACATCACCATACACCCCTTTACATCGCCATATATCCCTATACAACACCATATACCCCCATACATCACCATACACCCCTTTACATCGCCATATACCCATATACAACACCATATACCCATATACAACACCATATACCCATATACAACACTATATACCCCTATACAACACCATATACCCATATACAACACTATACACTCTTATACAACACCATATACCCCTATACAACACCATATACCCATATACAACACTATACACCCCTATACAACACCATATACCCCTATACAACACCATATACACCTATATAACACCATATACCCATATACAACACCATATACCCCCATACATCACCATACACCCCTTTACATCGCCATATACCTATATACAACACCATATACCCATATACAACACCATATACCCACATACCCCTATACAACACTATACACCCCTATACAACACCATATACCCCTATACAACACCATATACCCCTATACAACACCGTATACCCATATACAACACCATATACCCCCATACATCACCATACACCCCTTTACATCGCCATATACCCCTATACAACACCATATACCCCTATACAACACCATATACCCCTATACAACACCATATACCCCTATACAACACCATACACCCCCATACATCACCATACACCCCTATACATCGCCATATACCCCTATACAACACCATATACCCCTATACAACACCATATACCCCTATACAACACCATACACCCCTATACATCACCATACACCCCTGTACATCGCTATATACCCCTATACAACACCATATACCCATATACAACACCATGTACTCCTATACATCACCATACACCCCAGCATATCACCATATATCCCTATACATCACCATACACCCCTATACATCACCACACACCCCTATACATCGCCATATACCCCTATACAACACTATATACCCCTATACAACACCATATACCCATATACAACACCATGTACTCCTATACATCACCATACACCCCAGCACATCACCATACATCCCTATACATCACCATATATCCCTATACAACACCATATACCCCTATACAACACCATATACCCATATACAACACCATATACTCCTATACATCACCATACACCCCTATACATCACCATATATCCCTATACAACACCATATACCCCTATACAACACCATATACCCATATACAACACCATATACTCCTATACATCACCATACACCCCTATACATCACCATACACCCCTGTACATCGCCATATACCCCTATACAACACCATATACCCATATACAACACCATGTACTCCTATACATCACCATACACCGCAGCACATCACCATATACCCATATACAACACCATATACTCCTATACATCACCATACACCCCTATACATCACCATACACCCCTGTACATCGCCATATAGCCCTATACAACACCATATACCCATATACAACACCATGTACTCCTATACATCACCATACACCCCAGCACATCATTATATACCCATATACAACACCATACACCCCCATAAATCACCTACACCCCTTTACATCGCCATATACCCCTATACAACACTATATACTCATATACATCCCCATACACCCCTATACTTTCCCATACACCCCTATACATCACCATACACCCCTATACAACACCATACATCCCTATACATCCCCATACACCCAATATATTCCCATACACCCCTATATATCACCTTACACCCCTATATATCACCTTACACCCCTATATATACAACACCATACATCCCTATATATCCCCATACACCCCTCTACGTCCCCATACACCCTATAAATTCCCATACGCGTCTTTATACATCACCATACAACCCTATATAGTACTTTTATGTGTGTCATTGTCCCATTTTATTTCTAGATGCCTTACATTCAGCAAAGCATATATAGCATTAATTCTTGTCAAAGCTCGCCACTAGTGGTGTGCCGGCATAGCATGGTTGCCCCCGTGGTGGTATAGCTGTCTGCAAAAAGTCCTTTAATTGCCTAAGTTCCAAAAAGATGGTGGCTTAAAAAGCTCAATCTAACATCACGTCGCAGTGACGCAACGGCAAAGTAAAGTCGTAGTGTTTTGCTAATCCAAGCATATTCTTATTGTTTTGGGGGCGTTCTCGTTGGCTTCGTTTTCGTCGTTCTTGGTTCGAAGAGTAAGCCGGCCGACTTGTGCCGTTGTGGGACTGGGGGGTGGAGGGGGGGAGGGGGCGGTGAGATTAAACATGGACTGAAGCGACTGCAAATGCGTCTGATTTCCGCAGTTCCTCCGCAATTCTGCTACTAGTTCCAAGGTCAGTAGAGAAAACATTATTTATTTAATTCATCTATTCATTCATTTTCATTATTGGTATATGACCTTCAAATTTCAAGTTCATCAATAAAAAACGATATTGAATTATTATATTTACTGGATGGAGATACCATACTCTGTTGAGCTTTTCACTGAAAATCTAATTCACAAATAGCAGATAGGTATATTTGCTAAATACATTGCAATTATTGTCGGTAACTAAAATTTATTTAGTATATATCCACTCAGGCTTGGTGTTTTTGGGCAGTCTGATTGGTTGATAGTTATCTCCTAGGCCAAGCTCTTTCACAGTATATAATCAACAACAGCATAAATAAACTTCAGACATTCATTAATAATTCATTAAAAACAAAACAAAACAAAGAAATTTTTGTTTGTAAAATGAGTGTCTTTATGTCTGATAAAAAAAAAAACGGCTAACCTTTACGTTCAATTGTTAGGCCATAATAACCACAAATCTAAATATATTTGTGCAAAAATGAGTTCATCTATAAAATTAGCGGAGAATTTGAAGCCATTCAAAACAACTCGCAACTCGCAATTGTGTATTACCAGGTGTAAAACCTGTCGGCTTCACAAATTTTTTAAACCTGATTATACACTCATGCACATTTTTTTAAACATGCAGTGCACCTTTCCCTCAATTCGCCTATGATCTCTGACCCGAGGTTAAATTTGTAACCCTGTTCCTTTTTCTTGTTCAAAAGCTCAACAATGACTATGTTCTGACAAATGTGCGATTTTTGCCGCTACTTGAGCTGTACTTTTTCGTTCAATCGTTAAAGACATTTCCTTAACCTTGTCCGATTCTGCAACAAAGTTGTACAGCGTTGAAAAGTTTGATGAATTTCTTGGAAGCTCTCTAATGAAGAGAATTTCTTTACAAACTACAAGACACAATGTTTCTAGCAGTCTCCAAGGTCCCGAGGTCACTGGAGCTTTCTGTCTTTCCATAAACTCTTTTCCTCGTTGTCTCTTGTAGGTTGAAATGGTAGCTCTCCTTCTCTTTCTTCCTGTGCCTGGTGAAGCGGAAACACCGCCAATTTGAAAGATATTTGCACAGTTGTAACATTTGCATGACTCGGTACACCCGAGTCCTTCGGCAACGCATGGACATTTTCTTTTTCTTTTTCCATCTCTGCACGATACACGACCTTTATCTTCTTTGTTTAAGGTATTACCACATGTACATCCGCGTTTGCGTTTCCGTGTTTCGCCTAATTGCCTCTCTCCCTCAAAGGCAGCATTATTTTTGTTCTTACAATTGAAGCAGCGACATTTTCTTGAGCACGCTTGACTTTTTCTGTTACAAGGACATTTAGAAGATGTGCAAGCCATTTTGGAAGGGTCTTTAACATTCTTGCCACAGGTACATCTGGTTTTAGTGTCATTTCCTTCCGTTTCATCATTCGAATTCAGAAATTCTGGAAACATACCAGAGAAAAAATACAGTGTAAGTAAGACCTCTCAAAGGAATGGTAACCCTCGTTGTTATCATCATCATCATCATCATTATCATGATTAATTATTATTATTACAATTATTATTATCCTATGGACTAGTTGATTTTTAAGATATCCACGTTTCAAATGATAGATACTCGTTTTTTTCTTCATCTGTAAATAAGAGAGTATCTTCTTTGATATTTATGATTGAGTGATTGCCAATCCAATAGGTAATAACGAGTTCGGAGAGCATGGGATGGCGCAGTAGCTCGCAGTAGTGAAAGCGCTCGCCTCCCACCAGTGTGGCCCGGTTTTAAATCCCGGCGTCGACGCCATATGTGGTTGAGTTTGTTGTTCTTCCTCTCCTTTGCTCCGAGAGTTTTTTTTTGCCGGTAGCATTTCCAAATCCCAATTCGATCAGGAATCAGGTAGAAGAAGAACCACTTTGTGGATGTGCTACCTCTAAATCGTTATTTATTTCTTTATATATTTATTTGCTTATTTAGAAGACCTTTATAAACATACACGGGCAGGAAAACGTACAAATGCCAATAACAAAATCATCCAAGCAAACGTGCTACACTTAAACTAGGCTTAAGACGGAATCCATCGGGAAATTGAGTAATTTTGATTTTCAGTGAACAAAAACCTTGTACCAGAACAATTTAAATAATATCGCATTCTTTTTCACATTTTTCAAGGGCTATGGATATATAAACAGTTATCTGTAATGACACCAAAGACTATTTCTGATGGGAGCCCGAGAAAATAAATGTCAAATTTCACGAGAATTGTGAAAACACAGGTAAAGTTCTGAAAATTTCACGTGTAAGGTGTCATTTTCTGAAATTTGACATTTATTTTCTCTGGCTCTCATGAGACACTTTCTTTTCACATTCTTTGGTGTTACAGCTAACTAATTGCATCCATAGCCCTTGAAAATATCAAAAAAAGAATGCGATGTTGTTTGAATTATTCTGGTATTTTTGTACAATGAAAATTTAAATTACTCAATTTCCTGGTGGATTCCGTCTTAATGCCTTATGCATGCTTATTTACCTTTTGTAGCGTCATAATGCCCTGGACCTGAATGGTCGTACGCCAGATACATAGGTACAGCAGTGATGAAATGTTTTGGTAAAAATGGAATGGATGGGACATTAGGCAAAGCTGTAATTACAATTATCGGGACACGGAGGAGATTAGCACATGCCTTAGCACAGATGTCGCCAATGTCACTTGCGAAATGGCCATCAGTTTTAAAACGTTCAATTTCCCGTACATTTGACGAACAGGACATCCACTCCCTGTATTCATCGACATTCTCAGTGACTTCACGCACGAAAAGTAGTCTGAGGTTTTCCGTGTCACGTTCCTCGTTGATTCCAAGCCCCAGTGAGGAAATATGCTGTAGATTTTGCAAATCCGAACGTTGCAAGTGTTTTTGTAGCTGCCGGGCTGTTGCTCTGAAGAAGCAGTTTCCGTCTTTGTTAATTGGGTCCAACTGAAGATTAAATCCTGTGAGATTTCTTAACAGGTTATCTTTGTGCTGTGGGGTCAAATTTAATTCCATAACGTTTAACTTTGACTCCTGTTCATAAAGGTTAGCTGACGGTAAGTTTATCTTCCAGAGAAGACCAATCAAATCTATTGTTTTGTTGTTACATTTTGTTGTCCAACTGGTGATAAATTCTTGTATGTGCAGCGCTCGTTCCAAAATGTAGTTCAAGACGGAATCGTTTTCCAGTTCTTCCACAGTCTTAACTGTGACGAAAACGGATGATGTCCCTGGCATTCTTCTAGCCTTACTGCTATTTTTAGAGACAGTTCCAGATATTGAATCCGGTAATGACGTTGACGTAGAATCCACAGCCGTCATGTGAGACTGAAGATAAGGGGTCGCTTGGTTTAAAGACTCTAAAGGCTCTAATTCAATTGGCGTGATCGGAATTGTTCTCTTATTGAGGGTTGTTTTTAATCTTCGTTGCAATTCCATGCATACAAAGCACACGCCATTACCGCTACCGCCAACTCAGGTCCAATTTTGGATACTCCGCACAGTAATGATCGGTTAAGATGTCTGTGAAGTCGCTCATTTATTTCAGTCCCACATCCAACAGGTATTTCCGAGAGACATCCTTTTTTTATATGCTTGCGCAAATTTTCAATTTGAAGAAGGGTGTCCGTTTTCAGCTTTTCTTTCCAAACAAATAGAAGACGTTCAAGATTTGATTTTATTTCATCAGGACAAGGTGTGCTCATTGTTCTCTCGTTACCAAGGTCTTCATTTTGACGGAAAATTAAAGAAAATTCATTAGCAAATTGTTTACTGTAATCTTCGCTTTTGGGTACCGTTTGTACAACTCTCATACACGCGTGAAATAAGTCTAGCCGAACCTTTATCCCCGGGAATATTTGTCCATATAGGTGCATCACGTGGCAACAGTCATCCACTATTATCATTTTTAAGTTAGTGCTTGCCTTATCAAGCCTCTCTTTCAGTTCTTTAAGTGAGTCGATAATTTCGGACGAAGAAGTCGTCTTCGTAAACTTCCATATCATAACTTCTCCGTTTTCGTTCACCCCCAAGAAGACGTTTTTAAACTGGCCTACAAACTTGCCGTCCTCGCGGGTTACCCCGATATGTTTACTCGTTCTAAAGGTGTGGTCACAGGACAGAATCTCCCCTGTGTGTTTCTGCATGTTATTCTCATAACGTTTTTTGTTCCGCTCAAACTGCATGAGAAACAAATCCACTAGTTTATCGTTGCTTGGATAGGCAATGAAAGGAATACTCTCAAACTCCTTTACAGATAACTCTTTGCTGTCCGGTTTATTACGCATGTACTGTCTGTAATTCATTGATGCAATGCCTTCAGATAATTCCATGAAGTTTTGTCCTTGATAAATACCAGTTATTAAATAATCATAAAGACGCAGCGTAAAACCGCTTCTCTGCTGCATTATAAGAGGAAATCCCTTAACAACACTTTCAGGGAGAGCGCCTAACACATCGTTTGATGCGGACAAATACCGATGTCCAATCATCACGTTTTCTGGCAAACTTTCACTGCATTCATAGAACGCCTGCACCAGAATAACATTTCCGTTCAAGTCGTAAATCAATCTTGGGTTTCTTGGACTTGTGTTGGAGGAGTCAGGAAGATGTCCGACTTTCAGAGGACAGCCATGAACAGGACATAAAATAGTCAAACCGTAATGTCTTATTGGACACCAGATAAATAATTTTGGTATTAATTTTGACATAGCGTGTGGCCCTTCAACAATTTGATCAAACCTTCCATTTTGCGGTGTACACTCAAACTCTCTTAAGACATCCCGCAGATATTGTCCTGCTTCTTTTCCAAGAAGAACACAGATGATTGTTTTAAATCCCAAAACAAAGAATAAGCAACAAACAATGATTAAATTTCTCATTATGTCCCCTTGATGTCGAACATCTAACTGTCGCTGGGTGGCATCGATCTTGGTAATATACGGTTCAGCCGGGATCAAAGTGCTACAAAGCTTGTGCAATTTATTTCGCAACGTTTTACTTAGTTATATTACTCCACGAGCCATAGTTCATGTGACCTACCAAATTAAGCCGTTTAATGCATGTCCATGAAAGTCAGGAAGTACATTCAATATACCTTAGTAAAGTGTGAGCATTTTTTTTGTTCATTTTTGTTTTTGTTTGGCATCGCGGGTCGGGTATTATCCAATAAAAAGCTAAGAAAACTGGTACCCTTTTTAAGGCCCAAAGCCGAAAAATGACACCCTATTCAAGGAAAAAACAAACATGTGGCTTGAAGAGGCGTTACGTGTATTTACCCGCTTAACGTCTATTAAACCTCTGTTGCAAAATCAAAACCGTTCGTTTAGGCGCGCATTTTCCCACTCCAGTATTAGATAATGCAATTAACCTACCCTATCTAAGGACCACACCAGGGACACAGAAACAAAAGGGTCAAGAAAGATACCCTATTTAAGGACCGAGAACTTCAAAAACCATACTCTATTGCGCGGCACGTACCTATATAGCCCATATATGGGAGTACCCCCCCCCCGGGGAATAGATACTGTTATTCAAAACCCATACGTTAATCCTTCCAAGAACTTCGCGTACAGAGGTGTATGGTGATGTATAGGGGTGTATGGTTATGTATGGAGTGTATGGTTATGTATAGGGGAGTAAGGTGATGTATAGGGGTGTATGGTTATGTATGGAGGTGTATGGTGATGTATAGGGGTGTATGGTGATGTATAGGGGTGTATGGTGATGTATAGTGGTGTATAGTGATGTATAGGAGTGTATGGGAATTTGTAGGGGAGTATGGTGATTTATAGGGGTGTATGGGGATGTATAGGAATATATGGTGTTGTATAGGGGTGCATGGTTACGTATGGAGCTGTATGGTGATGTATAGGGGTGTATGGTTGTGTATGGAGGTGTATGGTGATTTATAGGGGTGTATGGTGATGTATAGGGATGTATGGTGATGTATAGAGGTGTATGGTGATGTATAGGGATGTATGGTGATGTATAAGGGTGTATGGTTATGTATGGAGGTATATGGAGATCTATAGGGGTGTATGGTGATGTATAGGGGTGTATGGTTATGTATGAGGGTGTATGGTGTTGTATAGGGATGTATGGTGATATATAGAGGTGTATGGTGATGTATAGGGGTGTATGGTGACGTATAGGGATGTATGGTGATGTGTAGGGATGTATAGTGATGTGTAGGGGTGTATGATGATGTATAGTAGTGTATGGGAATGTATAGGGATGTATGGGTTATGGAGGTGTATGGGGATGTATGGGGATGTATGGTGGTGTATAGTGGTGTATGGTGATGTATAGGGGTGTATGGTTATGTATGGGGGTGTATGGTGATGTATAGCGGTGTATGGGGGTGTACGGTGAGGTATATGGATGTATGGTGATGTATAGGGGAGTATGGTGATGTATGGGGGTGTATGGTGATATCTAGGGATGTATGGTGATTTGTAGGGGTGTGTAGTTATGTATGGGGATGTATGGTGATGTATAGGGGTGTATGGTGATGTATAGGAGTGTATGGTTATGTATGGGTGGTGTATGGTAATGTATAGGGATGTATGGTGATGTATAGGGGTGTATGGTGATGTATAGTAGTGTATGGGAATGTATAGGGATGTATGGTGATGAATAAGGGTGTATGGTTATGTATGGAGGTGTATGGTAATGTATAGGGATGTATGGTGATGTATACGGGTGTATGGTGATGTATAGGGATGTATGGTAATGTGTAGGGGTGTATGGTGATGTATAGTAGTGTATGGGAATGTATAGGGATGTATGGTGATGTATAAGGGTGTATGGTTATGTATGGAGGTTTATGGAGATGTATAGGGGTATATGAGGGTATATGGTGTTGTATAGGGGTATATAGGGGTATATGGTATTGTATAGGGGTATATAGGGGTATATGGTGTTGTATGGGGTATATAGGGGTATATGGTGATGTATAGGGGTATATGGGGGTATATGGTGTTGTATAGGGGTATATAATATATGGGTATAGGGGTATATATTATATAGTGTTATAGGGTTATATGGGGTTATATATATGGTGTTGTTATGGGGGTATATGGTGTTGTATAGGGGTATATAGGGGTATATAGTGTTGTATAGGGGTATATGGTGTTGTATAGGGGTATATAGGGTATATGGTGATGTATAGGGGTATATAGGGGTATATGGTGTTGTATAGGGGTATATAGGGGCATATAGTGTTGTATAGGGGTATATGGTGGTGTATAGGGGTGTATAGGGGTATATGGTGTTGTATAGAGGTATATAGGGTATATGGTGATGTATAGGGGTATATAGGGACATATAGTGTTGTATAGGGGTATATAGGGACATATAGTGTTGTATAGGGGTATATGGTGTGTAATAGGGGTATATAGGGGTATATGGTGTTGTATAGGGGTATATAGGGGTATATGGTGTTTTATGGGGTATATAGGGGTATATGGTGTTGTATAGGGGTATATGGTGTTGTATGGAGTATATAGGGGTATATGGCGTTGTATAGGGGTATATAGGGGTATATGGTGTTGTATAGGGGTATATAGGGGTATATGGTGTTGTATAGGGGTATATAGGGGTATATGGTGTTGTATAGGGGTATATAGGGATATATGGTGTTGTATAGGGGTATATAGGGGTATATGGTGATGTATAGGGGTATATATAGTGTTGTATAGGGGTATATGGTGTGTAATAGGGGTATATAGGGGTATATGGTGTTGTATAGGGGTATATAGGGGTATATGGTGTTATATGGGGTATATAGGGGTATATGGTGTTGTATAGGGGTATATGGTGTTGTATGGAGTATATAGGGGTATATGGTGTTGTATAGGGGTATATAGGGGTATATGGTGTTGTATAGGGGTATATAGAGGTACATGGTGATGTATAGGGGTATATAGGGGCATATAGTGTTGTATAGGGGTATATGGTGTGTAATAGGGGTATAAAGGGGTATATGGTGTTGTATAGGGGTATATAGGGGTATATGGTGTTGTATGGGGTATATAGGGGTATATGGTGTTGTATAGGGGTATATAGGGGTATATGGTGTTGTATGGGGTATATAGGGGTATATGGCGTTGTATAGGGGTATATAGGGGTATATGGTGTTGTATAGGGGTATATAGGGATATATGGTATTGTATAGGGGTATATAGGGGCATATAGTGTTGTATAGGGGTATATGGTGTGTAATAGGGGTACATAGGGGTATATGGTGTTGTATAGGGGTATAGGTGTGTATAGTGTAATAATAATAATATATAGTAAGATATAATAACTATGTTTAGGTACATAATAATAATCATATATGAAGTACCTACCCATGCGCTTGCGCCTTCCGCTGACCATATGCAGATGCAGTTGGTTCAAAAAAATGAGCGATCCGAAGGAGCTACAATCGAGCGATCATGAATGTGAGATATTTGGCCGAAATTTGAAGAGCACTGTGTTGAAATACATCACTGAAAGGTCTTGTATATAATGGTATCATTTTGTTTTGCTTCGCTTTGGAGGTAATCTTTGTGATTGTATTACGTTAAACGGACGGAGTCGTGCCAAGCAAACCATGTGCTTTTTTTGATCAACTTTCTTCTACGCGATTGTTTGGTTTTCCTGCAACAAGTCTCGGTGATCCTATAGTTACACAACTGAGTTTAAAGGTAAGACATTTTTCGTCTTTGACATAGTGAACGTTTTCAGAGTTAATGAGTTAACCGAAATTTGCATTGGATGCTATTTATCCTCCAAGAGATTGCGGCGGTGCAGCGTGCGGTGCGTGCAGGCGTATAATGCGGCACCTAACAGTTGGCGAAGCCATTGCTAAAAGTAACCAAACTTTCAAACAAAATAGCACTTCATAGCACCTGAGTTACAAGTTTAATGGGCTTTTGATTCTAGGTTAGATATATCCACACTGTTCAATGAATTCCTTGGTGTGAATTGTTTACATTGTCCCGCTAGAAGCGAAATTATTTTTTTGTACGCGTTGTCCAATTTGTAATTTCTTTAGATCAATTTATACCAACTGATTTATACAGTTAATAACTTTGTTTTTGGACTGATATAGATTTGGAATGATTTTACTGTACAAAATTAGGTTGTTTTAAGAAAGGTGAAATTTTAAGGATGAATTTTTAAGCTTACATGTATCCAGAATTAGCAGAGTTATACACAATCCTTGCCCATATACAATGTGGTATTTTGAAGTGAAAATCTTATTATATTTACATGTTCAAAATAACATCGAATATTTTGAAGACACTATCTTACTCCCGTACATCACATTGTCCCTTATTAGTATTCTCGACAGGACTATCACTATATTTTTCTCACTGGCATAGTACTTGGGCTGAGTTAATCTTTTATAATGCAAAGATCTCATATAATATTGTATGGACCAAATTCCAAATGCAAGCACAAGATCACTTATTTGTTATCTAGCTAGTTGCATTGTTTTGAGATACCTATAGCAAGACAAAGGCAACAACAAAGGCATTGTTTAAGGTTTCTCTCCTGTGTTATCATGCCTATTCCTATTCAAGGTATTTTACATGAAACAAAGGGCTTGTATTATTTGTTTGGATTTGCTTCTAAAAAAGGAAATGATTATTGTTTTGTTATTCTCATTTCAGGGAAACACTTAACTATTTACCCCTTTGTGGGTGTTCTGATGCTGAGTCAAGCCCCCTTTGCTCTTACAGACCCTGCCACATGTGACACACACCATACTAGTATTAACAATTACTGCTTCTCCAGTAGAGTCGGTGGAGTTTACATTCTTGGAATTTTTGTTGCTGTACTTAAATAAAGCACTTTGTGGAAGATGCAAAAGGGATTGTTTTGCTTTAATGAGTATTCTATTTGCTAGTGTATCAGGTTTGCTATCATCATCATCACTGTCATCATCATCTGAGTTGTCACTTCCATCATCATCGTCGTCGTCATCATGATTATCATTGCTTCCGTCAGTTTCATCATTTCCTGCCAGTAAACCTTTGTTGAAACTGTCTGCAAGTTCTTGGATTCTTAAAGGAAGTTGCTCAGAGCAAATGGGGCACTTGACACCATACAGTATTGAGTAGTTATGATCGTTACAGTTTGAGGAACTACCAAGACAACTTTTGTGAAATGTGTGGCCACAGTTGAAGCGCTGATCTGCAAGTAGGAGATTGTCATCTGCTCTGCAATCTGCTGCATCACAAGCCAACAGTGCGTCTGGTTCTTGACCCTTCCAGGCATACCCTAAGGGGAAGCTTCTTTGGTCCACAGTTGCATCAAGAGAGGGTAGATAATAAGGCTGCATTGGAAAAAGATAAAGGTTTGTTTCAGGTATATCTTGTATAGGAAATGCTTTGTTTTGTTATGGAATGGGTTGTTACAGCCATATTGGATTCTACCTGATATTTCTTTTGTCCTCTGGGTATTTTTGCAGAGTTTCCAAGGTTTTGCCTCACAGAGATGAACAAGTCAAGAAGAAACTCAGCTGCTTTGTTTGATAGGTCCCTTAGGTTCCGGACACTTTTGCCTCTTGGATTATTGGTAAGGAACCAGGTACAAAAGTCTTCTGCACATCTGTTTGCACTTATGGCCTTTGCAGCTGCCTGAACTTGGCTGGCTGTGGCATTTGGAGGAACTGATCTGACAATTCAAGGACAATGAAATGTCTTAGTCACTTAGCTGAAATTAATGTAACACTTTTGGCTTATTTGAATTTTTCAAAAGTTTATTTTCCTTGACATTCCAGGGTGCAAAGAAACTCAGTTTTACAGATGCCGCAGCTGTAGCTAGCATTTACTAGCCCACAAGTCATTTCAACTAGCCGTAAAACCCTTTTTGATTAGCAGGATTGATTCCAATCCTTCTGTAATTTGAATTTGCCTAAAAAACAGCACTTGCCTGTTGGGCAAGTTAAGAACAAGAATCACTAGCCCAATAGCAAAATCCACTAGCCGTGGGCTATCGGACATGACTGTCTTTGCACGCTGACATTGTCTGTCATTGACAGTCATATCAAGGGCTGTGGCCTCGACTAAATTTCATTTAAAACAACAGCACACAGATGAAAAATAGTTTTATTCAAACCACGTTTAGGAACTTTGCATTCCTTACCTTTAAAAATAATGATAAATCATAACTTTGTTGAAGTAGTGGTCTGCTTGTTTTAAGAGGAATTGATTGGTTTACCACTAAATTTTTCAGGTAAAAAAAATATGTGGCATTGCTAAAAAAACATGTTGACCTTGGGGCAATATTGCACATTATTAGGATCTGTCTGTTATACTGGGTAATGTTTGACAAACCGTTTATGCACTTGAATTTCCTAGGTACATTTATGTTACCTTCGAAGAAGTGAATGGAAAACTTCCACTTTCTTTTCTGTTAGCTCATTGAGCCATTGCTCCAGTAGCTCCTGGAAGTTGGGAATGGCCTCTTGCTGGTGTACAAGGTCGCTCAACTGACACAGGGTGGCCTTGTCATAGTGACGCCGCCTTTGGATGATAAACATGAGGGCTAACCGTATCATGGCATCAACCCACTTCCTTTGGTCACCACCTCGAAAGATAACTGAATAAAAGTAAAACACAAGTGGAACCAATTCATCCAGGAGAAACACAAGAAGGACATATTCTGGGTCTTTACATTGTCCAAATGCAGGTAGAACAGCGGTTTTTACAGTCAGCCATCCACCAAATGCTGTAGTGATGAGAGTCGAAATTCTGTGTGGTTTAGGCTTGGAAGGCAACACTTTTCTTTGACCAAACAAGTGTTTGTACAGCTTTTCAAAAAAACAGCGGAAATTTGCCACAACATCTTCTTGTGAGTTCAGACAGATATGGAAGGGCCCCTGCCATGGCACCACTGACAATACTCTGTCTGGGTCAACATCGGGTTTCCACTGTAGAGTAAGCAACTTTTTTTTAGCTAATGTTCATAATCAATTTGAAAGTATAAAATAATTATTCTTACTTTAAAATTTTATGTACTATTAATTACTATTAAGTAATTAAGAATAACAGACATGTAAATGTTTTCTGTTTAACTAGAGTGGACTCTCTCAGTGTGTATTTGTTTACGTACCTGTAGTTTCTTTTTGTTGCTCCTGAAATGCAGTTCTCTTAGTGGGACTGCCCAAGTTTTGAATAATATTTACCCTTGAGTATGTGTTGTGGCTCATTTTTATCTTTGGTTGAAACTTTTTTTTCCTTTGTAATGTGTTACAGTCAAGTCAAGCATAGCCCCCAAGATTACATTAATGAATTTATTATTTGAAAGTTGAATCCGTTGGTAGTTGTAGATTTCAGATTCATCTCTGCATTCTTGCATGCGTAATGAGCCGTGAAGTCACACGCAAAGCAGTTACGAAATTTCTACCAGCTCAGTTTCCCTGAATTTTATGTAAATGTCTTCTATGAAATTTAACCTGTTCAAAGATTTTCAATCTGACCAAGTACAGAGAAGTTGTTGTAAAATATTCACTGCCCATTACGCATGAAATATTTCACTTCAGAAATATACTGTGAATATTATATTAAATATATATTGATTCAGAGGTAGCAAATCCACAAAGTGGTCCTTGTGTACCTAATTCTCAGTCGAATTGTAATTTGGCAGTGTTAGTTTTTGAGGAGAGGGGAAAACCGGAGTGCACAGCGAAAAAAAAAAACCCTCGGAGCAAAGGAGAGAACCAACAACAAACTCAACCCACATATGGCGTCGATGCCGGGATTTGAACCCAGGCCACATTGGTGGGAGGCGAGTGCTCTCACCATTGTGCCATCCCTTGCTCATTATGTTCCTTATGCTAAAAGTGTTTTAAAAATGTTAAGCCAAACCTGGCATATAATCTTCTTGTTGTAGTACCATGTTGGCCAATCACCAGCTAAGAGCAGTAGGTTCTTTTCCATGTATTCGCTTAGTGATGGGCAAACTTCATTGAGGTGCTGCATTGCTTGTCTATAATTTGCCATGCTCTTAAGGGACTGTTCAAATTCATCAACTAGCCAAGTGTTGGACAGCAAATCCAAGTCATGTCTGGCCTCATCTGTATACACTCTACAAGGTATTTGTTATTGTTTGTATCATGAAACATTGTACATGCTCTTTTTTGGCACCCTTATGCAACATTTGTTGAAAGTCAATTATCCATTCAATATTAAATTTTCCCTTTCAAATTCCTACATTGTGAGACAATGCAAAGTGGTATGTGGAAAAAATTTATGATGGGCTGTATGTAAAACTAGTTATTGACATTTGGAGTTGCCAATTTCATTTTTGAGGAGGAATTTATAATAAAGATATTTATGGTGCCAGTTAATTGTAAAATTTCTGTGGCATTGATTTATGCCAAAGAGTTAAATGGCATGAAAAGTTTGGATGAAATACATTACTAAAATCTATTACTTAAAAGTGTTATATTATTCTTTTTGTACCAGCTTGTGGCACCCAATGACTATTAGACCACTACCTTGACTTTTAGGTTTCTGATTTGTTGTAAATCATACCTTAATTCAACTAAACTTTTGTTTACATTTGTCAGGTCAAACTGACTGAAATCAGCAGGTAGAGAGTCTAAATAACTGAATGTAAAATAATTTGACAAATGCTCTTGAAACAACTCGTTCAGTTTGTTGGCATCAATTCCTCCCCGGCAGTTAACAATTGCACCCCCAGCAATTCGGACAGGTACAACCCGGTGGACATTTCTTGTTGTTGGCATTGCCGGTATAGATTCTTGGTGATCCACTACTCCAGTACACATGTGAAGGCACTTGCTCAGCTGGCTCTGTTTGGGGTCTTTTATAGACTGGACACAATGAAAATCATCTATAATGAGCAGGAGGAAGTTGTTGTTCTGTTGGGGAGGAAATTTTTAACTGGATCAGTGTACATCTATGGACTGATAAATTAAAGTCATTTTACTTAAACCATGAAACAAGTAGAAGAATACTACGCACTATTATGTATTAATTCCATTGTCTTCTTTTGTTTACCTCTCGCTATTTTGCACTGTTTGTTAATATCTGTTTCACGGTTCAAATAAAATCACTCTATTTTTGTTGTTTTTGTCTCCTTGTTACAAGGTCCTTGTGCCGTCTATTTAGCCCCTGCTTCTTTACATCCAGCCACCTCACCTTGTGTCAACTTATTGTTTTGGCCAGGGTGTTGTGCAGTGGCAGATGTTTAATAATGAATTGTTTCAGTATGTAAATACAGGTACCTTTATGGCACTCTCAACGATCGCTTGTGTCTTGTGAATGCTTTTTCCAGACAATCCTTTTTTATGATTTAGCACACTTCTCGGGTGGGTGCTAAACCCCAGAAGTGAGCCAGCTGTCAAAGCATCATCACTGGCACCATGAAAGGACAAGTGCAACCCACAGTCTTGTTGTAAGGGATTGTTTTTCTGTTGAAAACAAACAAGCAACACTTGTGTCTATTACACACCATGGTGTTTAATTTAATTTAAGTGTCTTTCTAAAGTATGGTTCCTGTTATTATTATTATTACTATTATTATTATTATCATTATCATTACCATTATCATTATTAGTATTATTATTTATTTTATTTTTTATTATTATTATACACACTTGGTTTCTAAAGTAAGACAGCTGATGAAGCAGTGCCACAACTCGCAGTCTCAGTATTTCATGTCTTTTCTTAGAAAGCTGTTGTTTTTCATCATTCTTGACTAGACACAAGGCACGGTTGAACAATCCAGGGGTGCACTTGTTGGCAAATTTTTCCATGTCTGCAGGGTCGTATAGCCGCTGCCCTCCATCCTTGTAATGTTTAGTGAGACACTTGTGGAACGTTTTGAACTGCTCATCAAAAGTTGGCTCTGAAAATTAATAAAAAAATGTTTCTAATAAAGGTTGAAACTAGTCGTCTTTGTTTTGAATGTGTGGAAATTAAGAGTACGTCAATACAATACCTTCTAGCTTGTTGCATCTTTCTTTTAATGCTGCATTTTCGCGCTGTAATTTGGTGATTAATTGTTTTGCCTCTGCTAGCTCATTAACACTCTGCAAAGGGGCGGTCTGAGAGGTTCCATCCGTCCAAGTTATTTTCTTTTCTGGGGTAGTACATAGGACTGAAGTAGTACATTTTGTCTACAAATGTATAGGGCAAAATTTAATGCAAAATATGAATATTTTCTAAAACAAAACTAAGAATGTATGATCTGTTTCTCTACATTTTGACTGTTGTTTGAGTGTAAAAGAAACATACCTTTCTCGTAGTAGGGGGTTTGTAGAGAGCGTGGTTGGTAAATATGGGAGCTTCGTCCGCGAGATTTAGGTGGCCTTGGCAAAGAAATGCACCTCCTTGGTGGTTTTCAAGGTTTGCTGCTACGGTGAGAATCCTCTGCGGACATGGCAGTAAATTGTTCCTTTGCGTGCAAGCATTTTCGCTCGGAAAACAGCACCTCCTTTGACTTTCCACTTGCAATTTTTTTGCATGACCAAAACATAGCCAAACCGGCCTAGAGTAGCCACGTAAAACAGCCTCTTTTCCCGAATAGTAATTAGTGGCACCCCAACACTTTTCTGACACGCTTCTTAATCTGGAGCCACGTTCACAAACATTTTCCATTATTTAATCAACTTTGGACTGAAGTTTCCGCCGGAAACGCACGCAAAAAGACCGGAACTTGACAGTGAAGCGGTCGGTAACTATTTTTTGACATTTTTGAAGCTTTTCGAAGCGGGAAAAAACGAGCGGCGTCTCCAGTTTCATTCATAATTTCCCGCGTAAAGCATGAGGCCGGGAAGCTGGCGCCTACCAGTCAGTAAGTGGACACAAGCCGTAGGCGAAGAGTTTGATGTTTACAAATCTTTTCCTTTTTTTACTTGTCCAAGGAAATATATTTTAGCGCTGCTGTCTACCTTCTAAGTGCAAGAGGATCGATCCTCTCAGAGGTAAGATTGGCTGTACATTTGTGGAAGCTTCTCACCGGCGATTACGTTCGAGTGTTTTCACCGCGAGGGGGATGCAAAAACAAAAAACAGCAAGCCACAGAAAAACGTTCTGTTCGATTTTTTTACGTATTTCTTATTTTGCTTCTTGGCTTTTAGCCTTTTGGTTGGTCGAATTTTGAACCTTAAATACTCCACCTGTTTCTTATTTTTGCAAATTGTTCAAGAGCTATTGGTCGTATAATGTCTCTATGAACTACACACTGTCCCGCGCATTTTCAGCAAGCACCCTAAAGTGTATTCCTAATCTGATTTCGCTACAACTCTTGACATCGCCTGTCAATGAGTTCTAGTTTGGGGATATCAGATCATAATCACCGAACTAGTCATGGTTAACTATGTATTTGGCTTCAAACTTTGCTCTTTTTTGTAGACTACTTGATTCGTTGTAAGATGGTCAGCGGAGAGCACAAACTGCCGCGAAAACGGCAACCAATCAGCGGTTTTTCTGCCCTGCCGTTCCAAGCACATTCTTTCGATGTCGGCGAATTCCCAAGTGTCAAACCACTTTTCCAGGCATGCTCCACTTTAAAAAGCACAGCTGCTACGTGATTACAAGTGGATCCCAAACTGAAGGAAAAATAAAAAGTCATAACTATACTTCCACAGATACTGTTATATACACATGAAATCAATCTCTTACCCGGCAAAACATGTGCAATAAGCGGCCTCCACTGTGCCACTTATCTTTTTCACGCAAACCCAAATCTTGTGTGGTACGTTACCTATTCTTTGCGAAGGTGTTGATTGCGACTTCAAGAGGCAAAGTTCGTGAGTGTCTGAAATGGGGTGATAAAAAACTTCCTTCAGCCATTGTGAATCGAGATAGCTAAAGGCTTTTCCCTCTTTATAATCACTGCGACGGCGTTTGCCAAGATCGCTCCCTTGTTCGGCCGTTAGGATAAATTCCGCTATTTGCATCTGTAAGATAGGTGGCCATTTTTCAACTCCCGTTTCTTCACTGATCCAATTATCTTTGAGTTCCGTGAACGGATCTGGTAACTGCTCACCATTTACGTTAAGAAGACTTTGGTATTGCTTCTTTTTCTGTATTATTTCCTCTTCCGCGGTTAGTTTCACAGGCACAGATAGCTGTTCCGCTCCGAAAGCCAATGCAGTAAGTTCGTCCTTGGTGCCCGTTGTTTTCAAACCATGAATGCGTAAAAATTCCTTCAGTTCCGGAACTTTCCATCTCCTAAAGTCGTCTAATGTCCTCTTCTCTCCACTTATACGCCATTTTCGCCGAAATCGCCACTTTGCAAAGGGCCCCTTTGCCATCTCATTTGAATTTTTGTTTATAGTTTGGCGATTTTGGCGATTAATTGCCATTTCTGCCATTTTCGCCAATGCGTGCATTTCTGGACATATCTCTTCTCTTGAGAGAGGACAAACATCTTGAGAAAAGTACACTAGACAAAAAATGATCGATGCCAGATCTTCAAACTTGCTTACAATTTCCTATTATCAACGAATCATTTTTATCCCGATTCGTTCCCAGTCACACGCAATTTTGAGATTGACCGCTGGAACTCCGAACTCGCTTATTAGGGACTTTAAAGGGACTGGTTCACGATAATGCGCATGTGTGAGTTCTGACAGTAGCTGATTGTTTTTCAACCAATCGGAAGCGAGTTAGATGCACGCAAGTAAATTTACAAAATTCAAATTAATTGTTCGCGACGCGAGAGTATTTCCGGGCATTTGGTTTGATTTTATTTATCCCCATAATTCAATTTTATTCTTTGCTACTCCTCAGATATATGTTGCAGCCGATAAGAATAAGATTTACAGCCCTGTCCTGCTTTGAAACAAACATTTACCAACGTGTATTTTTACGAGGTCGTACCCACGCTAACAAAACAGTCACCGATCGGCAAACAAAATTTGTAAACAAACATCTTATTACTGTTCTCTCAGTTCGCCTTATATAAACCCAGAAATACCTACAAATAGCGCCGGACCGGTGACAAAAACACGCAAGGTATGAGTATAAAGATTATCCCTAACTGAGCATAAATTTCAATTGCTTATCAGCAAATGAACAAATTCATTCGCGTTGCATCGGGTCAGTGTTCCGCAAAACAAATGTTATCGAGTAGCACACATAAAGAAACTAGATTATGAACAGAATATTCAGGCAATAATTTATTTTAAAAGCATCAATTCTCAAACATATACGATCGTAAAGCAAAGATACAAGGAACATTTCAAGTGTACCAGATCGGTGAAGATCGCGCGGCCTGTTGCGGTATAACTACAGGTCGGAGTCAAAAATCAAATCAAAGTTGAATGAACTCATGCCTTTAACCACTTTCCAAGTGTCGTGTATTCTTTTCGTATGCCACACACTACTCCTAGAACCATACCAGATCGATAAGCTAAGCTTCTCTATCTCCAGAGACTCTTGAGAACGTCCTGTTGCCGGACGGCCACGATGCTCTTCTCAACCTCCATGATCAAAACATTATTTTTTGCGTCTTCTTAAAACTTAACCAGTCAAACGACACAACCACACGTTAATGACCACTACCGAAGTATAACTAGACCAGCCAAAGCGACGGATGTCCGAATAAAACGAAGGATTTTCAATGATTGTACCGGTAATGGCGATTTCGAATTTAGTGTTGACCCAACAAATTTATTCTGAAGAGACAGACGGCGCGCATGCGCATTATCATGAACCAGTCCCTTTAAGATAGGTGACTACGGTCGCCTGGGACGGTTAGATAGATGTCACGTCACGCAAAACACGCGTGACCTTTTACCGTCGTCCTTCTGGGACGGTATGTTTTCGCCGGGTTTCTCGTCGTGAAGACAACGGTGAAACCGATAAGAGTTCATGCGTACTTATTGTCACTTTTCTTCTAAAACTGAGTAGCCAATGGGTTAAATATGCGTTGGCTTGTGTTTACATTGATTTACCCATCGGTGAAATGAAAAAGAAAGCGAAAATATCAGAAATATCTGAGTTCATTCATAACTTAGCTCGCGGTCGCATATGGCGACTGCTTGTTTTCTACCTAGTGTCGTCCGCCATGGCAGAGGAAAATTGCCGAAAAGAAAGGTAAGACCCAGTTCAAACGTTAATCTTTTCATGTACCGAACTTAATACCTATTTAGGTCGACCCAAATGGTTCGAGGTTGATTCAGGCGTCGAACTTAAAGTGTAGTCGAACTCGATTCATTTTCACGATGCTTTAAACAAGTGAAAATAAATTTTAGTAATTTGTGCTTTAGTTTCGGCACATGAGAAGTTCGACGTTTCAACTGGGCCTAACAGTGATGATTGTAGTCGTCTTTTGTATAACTTAAAACTGTATTTTTATCAAGAAAACATTTCCTTATAACTCAAAAGGTGTTGGCTTAGGGAAGGAAAGTTCAAATAAAAACATCGACTACAGTTTTGAAAACTAGCTAGCTTTAATTTGTACCCTTATTCCTCTGATTGGTATTCTTCGTATAAAATAAAAAACTCTTCTTCAGTAATTGAGCCTTCTGCGAAAGAAATGACAAGCGAGTTTCGCACATGACTTCACCGTCCTCTGTTTTGTTGTCCGATCTTAAATTGAAAATTTTTGCGGCTTCTTACCGTCATGGCCCCAGGCCACCCGTATACGCATCCAACCGTCCCAGCCTACCGTAGTGACCTATCTTAAAGTCCCTATTTACCGAGTTGTGTAGCTCGGCGGCGCCATTTGATCATGACTTGTGATATTTTCGGCACCGGACAAACGAACACTAACTCTATGTTATTTATTAGGAAAAACTCACCCACAGTAGCGCCACTCTCGAATCACTGAAATCAACACGCTCGACCAAATTACTGGAAAAGTGATTGACGTGAGCCTCACACACGTGCCATTGAAGGCTTTGACAGGGTTAGTGCGGAGTTTGAATTCAGATGTGAAAGCTTTTAAAACAGTAAATTCAGTGGTAATTCCTTTTGTCAACTAGTTGCTGATTGGATGCTCTTCAAAATAACAGAGAAAATTATCCGAAGAAATGTTTTGAAGAAAGAAAAAGAATCCCGGATTAAGCACTAATCGGCCTTTGAGAAACTGCGCCCTGTAACTCGCGCCAGTAAAACAAAATATTCCGTTTACACGCCCGACGCACTCTGGCCAATTTCTCCTCCGATTACAAGCACTTGACACCGAACCATACGATACCTTTTGAAAACGTTCTTATAATATAATTAATGATACACAGTTTAAATAGAGGTTTCGCTGTACGCAATTAACCCTCACGTTCAAAATATGCCATAATCATATTTATCTATATCGCAACCACCCTTCCGCCTCAACTGCTACCTGTACGCCTAGCAAACACTGATATCGAACGCACTCTCCTAAGCTCCGATTACTCCTTGTAACTACGTAGCTATATATATATTTTTTCAGAGAACTGTATTCGTCTCGTATTTATATCACGCCCACTGGCGGTGGGTTCAGTTACTTGTGCTGAAGATAAATAACGTTTCATCAGAAACAATTTGAGTTCATGTCGTGACTTCCTTGAAAATTATTTTCTTTCTAACGGCTCTATGGAAGAATTATTATTTCAATATAACTCGCCGCCAGAGGCAGAGAAAACATTTCTTACATCATTGTTTATTCTAATTATTGTTATTTATTTTTTATTTATACATGGACAATTATCTGTTAAAAGTATGTGATAAAACAGAATCAAACTGATTAACATGATTGCCGGATGGGAGTCTAATGAAGAATAGTGCGTTTTATGCTTCCGTTTTAAAAAACCCCAAAGGAGTTACTTGCACTAAGACCCGAGGTATGCAGAGAATTCCAAAAGGCGGCACCGCATTACGAATAACTTCCCATTAGACACTCTGTCCTAGGCGTTTCTTTAGGCCCCGTCACGTACACACGTATCCATTTTTGTTTGGAAACGGAGGTTTTTTTTTTATCTGGTTTGGTCTACCGTCCATACGTATCCGATGAAAACAGTCTCAAAACGCATCTTTTCAAAAACGCTCTCCAGAGTAGAGATTTTTGAAAACGCCGGCTTCTTGTTTACGCGTGTTCGGACGAAAACAGAGATTTTTGAATACGATGATGTCATACGTCATATACCTCTGGCATGACGCATGCTCCATAAGTGATGCCATCGTATTTCGATCTTTTTAGCGTTTCCATGTGGAGGGGCGAAGACGATTTGAATAGGCTAAGTTTGGATGAGTATTTTTTTCTAAAACGGAAAAAATCTAAATTTAAAATCTCCATTTTCAGAAATACCCGGATGGGTGTCGACGGAACCTTAGTCAAACAATGTAATTGGCAATCAATGAGGTGTGAAGCCAGGCTGAATACTGGTTAAAACAGGAAGACAAAGTACAGTAAGTCGATACTCATATTTATCGCGAGGCGGCGCGGGTCTCATTGCTTGCTTCCGCATTCTATAAATGTAGCATTTCTTTAACTACTTCGAGGAAGTCATCGAAGAACACGCTTTACAGAGAGAAGCTGGGTTCCCTTTTGATTTCAGGTAGGTTTAGCTTTTAATATGCGACTTAACAAATGACAAGCAGCACTGGCATGGCTAGTCAAGAGATTACAGATACTGGCCAGTTTCCTAAAGTCCTATCAGTGAAGTTTAAATGGATAGATCGATGTTTTCAGTGAAAGTGGCTTGCTAAGAACTTCTGCAAGTGTTAAACAACAAATATCGGGTTCCTACAAAGCAATACTGAATATTTTTATAAGCCCAGAACTAGGAAATGAGAAACCCGTTGCGGTATAGCCCCATATAATCCCTAACGGCTTAAACGTTGGGTTGACAGAGAAGGGATATTTCTTACATGATGGACATTATAACTCTAGCTGCTAGTCTCATGATCACTTTTAAATAACGAGTATTAGATTGGCGTCTTATGCAAATTTTCAAGCTTCCTCCTTTTCATG